GGGATCCGAACCTGCGAACCCTGGGCTGCCGCAGCAGAGCTTGCGCACTTAACCGCTTGCGCCACCAGGCCAGCCCCTAAAATTGACCATTTTAAAGTGACCAGTTCAGTATTGTTAATACATTCGCAATGCTGTGCAACCACCACGTCTATCTCGTTCCAAACCCTTTGCATCACCTAACGTCTGATTTTTAACAAGCTCCATTAAACGCCCTTCATTTTGACCCAGAAAAGTGGGATTGGGACTGACACCCTCTTTCCGAAAACTTGGGGTTTTTTCTCTGCAAAGTGAGGACTGGCAAGGCAGATCGGTCTTCCCTTTGGGTTAAGGCTGGCTCCCGTCTCCCCACAGTGTCTGTCACCTGCATGGCGGGAGACTTCAGCTGTGGGGGCCGTGTCAACCGCTGCATTCCTCATTTCTGGAGATGTGACGGCCAGACGGACTGCGAGAACGGCTCGGACGAGCAAGGCTGTCGTAAGTATGGGCCCTCACCTGGCAGCCCGCGTGCCCTGGCCGTGTCCACGGGGCCCGACCAGGTTCCGGGCTGCAGTCAGAGTTTGTCCCCAAGCGGTCCTGCCCCGGCTGAGTGTTGGCTGCCCTTCACCTGCCTCCATCTCTTGGGGGCTTGCACCAAGCCCCCTCACACCCCTTGAACCCCGCCTTGACTAGGGGGCATCATAGGGGCTAGTGATGGTGCCCTCTCTTAGGGTCGTCAACACACTTGGTGAGGCTTTCTTTGCAAAGTGCCCCCTGCCACATGGCACACACTCCGGTGAGCCATGGTGACCCCTGCCACCAGCCACCCCGGGAGGCTGACCACACAGTGGGTGCTTGCTGGCCGAGACGCAATCACCCAACTGACCACTGAGAAGAGAAAAGCTTCCCCTTGTTTCCCAAAGAAACAAGGCTGAGAGCCCTGGAGGTAGAGGCACTTGGAGGCTGGATGTCTGTCTTGGCTCTTTGATTTTATTTATTTATTTTTTTTCAATTGTGTAGATTTTTTGTTTAATGGTAAGGCTCTCAAAAAAAAAATCTGGGAAAAATTTAAATAACTAAGATCACATCAACTCTTCACAAAATACAAAAACCTATAAGAGATTCTTAAAAAAAACCAAGCGTATTTGCTTATATTTGCCTTAGAAATGCACGTCTAACCTTGATGAGTGGTCATCTGATGAAACATCTCCTTTATTATAAAATAAAATAGATTGGTGTTCTTTTCCAGCCACTCGTTTTTTTTTTCTTCCATCTTTAATGAAATACAATTGACATATAACATTGTGTAAATTTAGTGTGGGACGTGATGACTTAATACACGTATATATTGCGAAATGACTACGACAATGAGGTTAGTTAACGCCTCCATCACCTCTCATAATTACCACTTTTGGGGGGTTCTTTTCATAATAATAAGCAAACCCTTACATAGCAATTCCTGTGTGCCTGGCCCAACTTGAGAGCTTGGCACCTGTTAACTCATCAGTCCTCACAACACCGTGAGGCACATACAGATGAGGAAACTGAGGCACAAAGGGGGCCCACGAGCAGGGCAGGGAGTCCCACGTGGGCAGTGGCTCCCAGTCTGGGACCCACTCGCTACCCTCACCACCTCTTCGGGGTCTGCTAACCGGGGTCCAGCCTCTCCGTGCCTCAGTGTCCCCATCTGTGGAATGGGCTGGTGTTGGGAGGCGGGGGGTCCCCGGTGACCGGGCTGTCTTGTCCCACCCGTCCCCACAGCCCCCAAGACGTGCTCCGAGGACGAGTTCCGCTGCCACGACGGGAAGTGCATCGCCCGGGAGTTCGTGTGTGACTCGGACCGGGACTGCCTGGACGGCTCCGACGAGGCGTCCTGCCCCGCGCCCACCTGCGGCCCCGCCAGCTTCCAGTGCAACAGCTCCGCCTGCATCCCCGAGCTGTGGGCCTGCGACGGTGACCCCGAGTGCGACGACGGCTCGGACGAGTGGCCGGAGCGCTGCGGGGGCCGCGACACGTCGGCGCCCCGGGGGGACGCGGGCCCCTGCTCCGCGCTGGAGTTCCACTGCCGCAGCGGCGAGTGCATCCACTCCAGCTGGCGCTGCGACGGCGGCCCCGACTGCAGGGACAAGTCCGACGAGGAGAGCTGCGGTAGGGGCGCCGCGGGCCCCCGCCCGTCCCCCCGCGCCCCCAGCTGTGGCACCGGCAGCGCCTCTAGGCGGTTACACGCTTTGCAGCCACACGCTGTGTAATTCATGTCTCTGGTGCCCAGAGGAGCGAGCTGCAAATTGCAGTATTATTTGGGTCCAGAAAGGATCCTGGGCTCCAGGCCTGGCTGGTGACATCCGAGCTGTGACCCTCGGCCAGGACTCAACCCCACTGTGCTGTGGTCTTTTCCCCTGCCGAATGGGGCAACAGCGTTGGCCTTTGCCACCTCATCAAGTCCAGCGCCACCCCAGAACTTTCTGTGATGTTGCAGCTGTCTCAAGTCTGCGCTGCCCCATGCAGTAGCTGCTAGCCAGTGTGGCTGGCACGACTGAAGAACAGAATTTGTAGTTTTATTTAATTTTAATGAGTTGAACGTTAAATAGCCACACGTGGTTAGTGGTTCAGATAAAGGACACGGCCCTGGATCTGGCCGGGGGTCCTGCTCCTTGAATGAGGGTTATTATCGCTTGGCTAGTAGAACCACTGTGAGTCCAGAACGTGCTTTCGTTTTCCTGTTTCTTTGATATCTTTGCCCATGTGCCCAGTTTCGATAGTTGTAATTGCTGTGTAGATATAATTCGACTTTTTTAAACGTCACATTTTAAAAACAATTTAACTTTGCATATGATCTGATTTAAAACTTACCACAAATTCATTTAATCTCCATAATTTGTGAGCAGGCTTACCCCCCACTCTTTACAGTTGGGGAAACTGAGGCACAAAAAGGCTGACTCCCCTTCTGAGGACACACACTTGTGAAAACTAAAAATCCCGTCATTGTACTCAGAGTTCGTGTTTTGCTAGAGCTGTGTGCAGTTGGTTTTTTCCCTCAATGCAAAGACATACAAAAGGATTACAAAGAGGATCATTCTCCTTTTTGCACATGTCACAGCTCAGCAAGTATCCACTTGAACACACAGAGCTCCAAAAATTTGCATATTTTTTTAAATGGTGAAGGGGGCATCGTTCTGCCCACAAATTTATTTTCTCTTTTCACTGTGATCCACAGGAAAGTGTGTAAAATGTAAACATACAGCTTAACAAATTAGCATAAAGCAAAAGCCTGTTGATTTGAAAAGTCTCAAAACGAGTTTATTCAGCAATAGCCAAAAGAATTACAATTCAGGATGTGCACGCTGGGGGAAACCATAGGCAAATCCAGAGAACAAGGCAGGGGAGCTGCTTTTATAGAGAAAAGGGGGATTGTGGGGGGCTGTTCTAAAGGAAAGTCCATTGGTGGAAAGTAACAGTTCAGGGTGGCAACGGCTTCTCATTGGCTGGGCTGTTGCCAGGTGGGGAGAGAAATCTTCCTTCAGTAGTGAAGTGGCTTTACCTTCCGCCCAAGATGCCAGCTTCGGTCTCTTCCTGCTTGGTGTAATTGACGATGTGTGATAGGGCGTGAGGGCTCCCCCTACAGGCCTTCCCAACTCCAACTCAGTTAAGATTTCTTTTAATTGCCACAAACCTGTGTGAGGTCGAGGTCTAGACCGCGGCCAGCATTAACCTAATCCAGTCACCAGGTGCCTCCTCCGAGATTTAATTGTAACAGCGGGTAGCGTTGTCTCATAACCATTTTTCATGTTCTCAGTCTTAGTCATTTGAATGGCTGTATTATCCTCCATGGTCTTGATCTGATTTATCACAATTTACTCGGCCTGCCTCTGTCAGGATTGGGACCATGTCATGGCTTTTCTGCTGAGAATGGGGCTTGCTGGGTCTGTAGCTTTTGAATGAATTTTCAAAGAGCTCCTGGAGAAAAACCCACACGTGCTCTGTCTTTTTCCAGCCGTGGCCACGTGCCGGCCTGACGAGTTCCAGTGCTCCGACGGGACCTGCATCCACGGCAGCCGACAGTGCGACCGGGAGTATGACTGTAAGGACATGAGTGACGAGCTCGGCTGCATCAATGGTGAGCTGTGCTCCACGCCGAGGGGGTCCTGGGCCGTAGGGGGACGAGCATGGTGGATCCTAGGTGAGGCAGCAGCCTCCCAGGCCAGCCCCCCACCAGCTGTGTGTCCTTGGGCAAGTTACTTGACTTCTCTGAGCCTCACTTCCACTTATCTGAAAAATGTGCATAAGAAAGCACCTCCTTCAGGACTGTGAGATTGAGCGAGGTCGAGTGACCCAAGCTCATGTCTTTGAGCTCAGAGTTATATGTATAATACAATTCCACGTGAAGCATTTTCCTGAATTTATAATGCAGCAGATCCACTCCGGGGAACGTCCTTGGGAGAAACTCACACTCGTGCACCAGGAGACAAAACAGCACTGTCCTAACAGCAAAACACTGGAAGCAACCTGTGTTCATCAGCTGTAGAACTAATTTTTAAAATTTTTAATTGTGGTAAAATACATATGACGTAAAATTTACCATCTTCACCATTTTTAAGTGTGCAGTTGTGTTAAGTACATTCACACTGTTACTCACCAATCTCCAGAACTTTCTCGTCTTCCCAAACTGAAACTCCATCCTGGTTAAACACTAACTCTCCATCCCCCTCCCCCAGCCCCTGGCCCCCACCGTCTACTTTCTGTCTCTGTGGATGTGACTCCTCTAGGGACCTCCTATGAGTGGAATCACACAGTATTTGTCCTTTTGTGACTGGCTTATTTCCCTGCGCATAATGTCCTTGAGGTTCATCCATGGTGTAGCATGTGTCAGAATTTCCTTCCTTTTTAAGGCTGAATAATATTCCATTGTCTGGATGGACCGTATTTTGTGTATCCATTCATCCATCGATGGGCACTTGGGTGGCTTCCGCCTCTTGGCTGTTGTGAATAATGCTGCTATGAACATGGGTGTATGGAAATAATTTTAAAATAGTGCTGTAGTCACACTGTGGAATATCAGACAGCGGAGAAAATGAAGCTACAGCCCCCAGCAGCAGCTCGGGCGAACCTCATAACCTTAGGGTTGGGAGCAAGAGTCTATTATAGGAGATTACTGGATATGGTTACTTTACAAGGCTCACAAACCAGCAAAATTCAATATATTATTCGTTAATACATGTGTGATAGAACTATTCATGACAGAATAAGGAAATGGTAAGCTACAAATTCAGAATTATCATTACCTCTGGGGGTGTAGCAGAGGGTAGCCGGATGGGACAGCTCAGGCTGTTAAAATGATCTAGGTCAGGGGTCCACAAACCTTTACGTTAAAAGGCCAGATAGTAAATTTTTCTGGCTTATGGGGCCATAGTCTCAGTTGCAACTCACAGCAGAGTCGAGTTGCGACTCAGCTCTGCTAGTGTAGTGTGAAAACAGCCACAGACAATATGTGAACAAATGGGCAGGGCTGTGTGCCAATAAAACTTGATTATTTTTTAATTTTATTTTTTATTATTTTACTGAGGTCATAATAGTTTATCACATTGGGTAAATGTCCCATGTACATTATTACTTATCAGTTTCTGTATAGATTGCATCGTGCTCAACCCCAGTAGTCTAGGTTTTATCTGTCACCATACACATGTGCCCCTTCACCCCTTTTGCCCTCCCCCCACGCCCTTCCCCTCTGGTAACCACTAATCTGTTCTCCTTATCCATGTGTTTGTTTATCTTCCACATATGGGTGAAATCATACAGTGTTTGTCTTTCTCTGTCTGGCTATTTCGCTTAACCTAATACCCTCCAGGTCCATCCATATTGTTGCAAATGGGACGATTTTGTCTTTTTTATGGCTGAGTAGTATTCCATGGTATATATATACCACATCTTCTTGATCCAATCATCAGTCGAGGGACACGGGTTGCTTCCACTTCTTGGCTATAGTGAAGAATGCTGCGATGAACATAGGGGTGCATAAGCCTCTTTGGATTGTTGATTTCATGTTCTTTGGATAAATACCCAGTAGTGGGATAGCTGGATCATAGGGTATTTCTATTTTTAATTTTTTGAGAAATCTCCATACTGTTTTCCATAGAGACTGCAAAAACTTTATTTAAATAAACAAAACCGTGGGCCCGTTTGGCCAAGGCGGTAGTTTGCCAACCCTGCTCTGGGTGACATTCTAACTCTTAAGCTGGGTGGGGTTCACGCGTGTTCAGTAATTATTCTGTTTGATTAATGAACACATTGGCATATCTTCTTGTATGATTAACTGTGATATTACTGAAGAGCGCTGAGCAGGCCCCTGGCGCTCAGAAGCACTTGACCCTCCTCTTTGGTTCTCAGTGACCCTGTGCGAGGGCCCCAACAAGTTCAGGTGCCACAGTGGCGAGTGCATCACCCTGGACAAAGTGTGCGACTCGGTCAGGAACTGCCAGGACTGGTCGGACGAGCCCCTCAAGGAGTGCGGTGAGCCCTGGGCTGCGGGCGCGGAGGACCCGGGCATGGGTGCTGTGGCCCTGGGGAAAGACAGATGTGAGGGGGCTTCAGGAAACGTGGATTTGCTTCTCAGCCTCAGTTTTCACATCCATAGGATGGGGCAGTAACTGCTCACACACCCTAGGGCTGCTGTGCGCTGGCTGACGAGATGCTTGGGAAGTTTCAGGAGTCTCTGTGGTCCAGAGCTATGTCAATATTTTGCACTTTTCAGGCCATACTGTCTGTCACAGCTATTCAACTCAGCATTGTAGCGGGAAATCAGCCATACGAATGTGTATGTATGCAACCACATGCGTGTGGCTGTGCTCCCAGAAAACTTGATTACAAGACACTGAAGTTTGAATTTCATCGAGCTTTTATGTGTCACGAAATACTATTTTTCTTTTGATTCTTATTTTTCTTTTTATTTGCCAGGAAAGATTCGCCCTGAGCTAACATCTGTGTTGCCAATCTTCCTCCTTTATTTCCCCCTCCCCAAGGCCCCCAGTGCATAGTTGTATATTCTAGTTGTAAGTCCTTGTGGTTCTTCTATGTGAGCCGCCACCACATCATGGCTACTGACAGATGGGTGGTGTGGTTCCGTGACCGGGAACCGAACCCAGGCTGCTGAAGCGGAGCGTGCTGAACTTAACCCCTAGGCCATCCGGGCTGACTCTTGTTTTTCTTTTCAATGATTTAAAAATGTAAAAACATTCTTAGCTTTCGGGCTGTGGAAGAAGAGGTGGTAGGCCGGCTTTGGCCCTCACCTGGTGGCCAAGACGCTCAAGAGGGCGAGAGCACGGATTCCACAGCTAAGCGCCCTGGCTTCCAGTCCAAGGTGTGATCTCGGGCAAGTCATTTAACCTGGCTGTGCCTCAGTTTCCCTAGCTGTAGTTCAGCTACTTTTAGGGTTGTAGGGAGGATTAAATGAGTTAACATATGTAACTGGAATAAGTAGTATGTGCTTTTATTTTTTATAATTAAAAAAAATATTAATTGTGGTAAAAAACATAACATAAAGTTTATCATCTTAACTATTTTTAAGTGTACAGTTCAGTGGCATTAAGCACATTCACATCGCTGTGCAGCCATCCTCACCACCCATCTCCAGAACTTTCTCACCTTCCCAAACTGAAACTCCATCCCCATTAAGCTCTGACTCCCCACCCCCCTCCCCCAGCCCGGGCCCCACCATCCTTCCTGTCTCTATGAGTGTGACTCCTGGGGCCCTCCTGTGAGTGGAATCACACAGACCTTTGTGATGGGCCTCTTTCACTCAGCGTCACGTCCTCCAGCTTTATCCGTGGTGCTCATGTGACAGTTATTTGACGTCCTCTTAGGGGTCATGTTATTTCACCGGCTTCCAAGTCATCGTTGTGACTGTGATAAAGATGGTGAAATCGCACTGGGTGACGGGGAAGGGGCGTCTGGAGGCCAGAGGGTGACCCATCTGTGTCCCCCGCCTGGTGCAGGGACCAACGAGTGTCTGGACAACAAGGGCGGCTGCTCCCACATCTGCAATGACCTCAAGATCGGCTATGAGTGCCTGTGCCCCGAGGGCTTCCGGCTAGTGGACCAGCGGAGATGCGAAGGTGAGTCCCGAGCAGGGTGGGATGGGCTCCGGGCCTCCTCAGCCCTTTCCCCAGACGTGGCCAGCAAACCCTCTGTGCCTCAGTTTCCCCATCCATTAAGTGGGCGTGAAAGCAGTCCACACCTCACAGGGCAGATGGGAGGATTTAATAAGATGCCCAATGCATGAGATGTCTAGCTGGGCCCTGAAGGAGCACTTGGTTCTTGCCTTTTTTTTTTTTTTTTTTGCTGAGGAAGATTGGCCCTGAGCTAACATCTGTGCCCATCTTCCTCTATTTTGTATGTGGGACGCTGCCACAGCGTGGCTTGATAAGTGGCATGTAGGTCTGCACCCAGGATCTGAACCCACAAATCCCGGGCCGCTGAAGCGGAGTGCACAAACTTAACCGCTACGCCACTGGGCTGGCCCCGGTTCTTGCCTTTTGGGATTAATAATTAAAGAAATTGCAACTGATGCATTTCGTCCTGTTGGCTGTGCCCCTGAGGTGAATGGTGGGGTCGGGGTCACCGTTGGAGACGGCACCTGTCCGTTTCCATGATTCCATTTCTGAACCCGACCGTCACCGAGACCCTGGCCTCGGAGATCCTCCCCACCGGGGACGGGCTGGCCCCATTTGCCATCAGGAGGCATGGCTTTCGGCTGGAGCCCATCGCTCCATCCACAGCCCGTGGGGAAGACGCCCCAACCCCTTCTCTGTCCCGACTCGCAGACATCGACGAGTGCCAGGACCCCGACGCCTGCAGCCAGCTCTGCGTGAACCTCGAGGGCGGCTACAAGTGCGAGTGTGAGGAGGGCTTCCAGCTGGACCCCCTCACCAAGTCCTGCAAGGCCACGGGTGAGCATGAGGAGGCGGCGGCCAGGCTGGCCAGGCCGCCCGGGAGCAGGTGCGGGGCGGGGGGGGGTGGGATTTCGCCATCTGAACTTCGCACGGACTGAAGTGACCCAGGAGGGTGGGCTGTTTGCTCCCGAGACCTCTGGCCCAGGATGGGCAGCCCAGCTGGAAATCAGACTTGCTCAGAGGCTGCCCGCACGGGTCCGGCAGACACAGGTCAACCCCACGGGGGACAGCTTGCCGCCCCCAGCCCCACTGTGGCCTTTGGGGGGCAAGACGTGGAAAGCCGTGGCCCCAAACAGCCTGCACCCCCTCCAGCTGTTCTTATTAGCTGAAGGAACTTATACCCCAAAAAGCAAATGCATTTAAAAGAGACCAAAATATAATAGCTCATAAGGAAACAAAATAGAAATAGTTGAGTTTCTTTTCTACCTGAAGTTTAGGTTAGAACTGCAGCCGTGCACTAATTCTCAGAATCACCGAAATCAAGGAATCCCGTGGTTTTGGAGGTGTCATTGTCCTGGCAGAGTTGTCCGGTCACACAAATGCCCTTTGTTGCCTCATATTCCGCTCTCCCTGTGTGATTTCAATGAGGCCAGTTTTGCAGAAATATTTTACAGCTGTTTCTGTTTCCCCAGGGTCTCTTAGGCTGTCAGTCTCTCTCCCCTGTTGTCACCCTTTTGTGACAGCTCCCTGGCCTCTCTCTGTCACGTCCCCGTGCATGGCCCAGTTCTGGGCAAAGTGGGGACTGAGTCCGTGAACCCCTCCGGGATGTGAGATTTCACTGTCATCCCAATATGTGGGGGTCAGTGTCTAGACAGATGCCATTCCGGGGCTGGGAAGGGATATTCAGAGTGAGGTCAGTTGCAGAAGGGGTCAGTTTGTTGGTGAAGATTGGTGTCTTGGCTACAGCACAGCCCCCAGAGTCGGGGCGACCCAGGTTTGAATCCTGGCTCTGCCACTCCCTGGCTGTGTGACCTCGGGCAAGTCACTTCCCCTCTCTGAGCCTCAATCCTCTCATCTGTAAAGCGGGGTTGCCTCATAGGAGAGTGAGGATCGGTGAGGAAAAACAAGTAGGAAAAGCAGTGAGCAGGCTTCCCCACCCTTAGGACTCGCTCCATACACGTGAGCCATTATCATTCCTTCATCTTTATGTTCTAGCTGTAACATGCTGGGGCCCAGGTGGTTCAAAATGGAGGTTTGATTATTATTCCGCTGTGGTGAGGCTAACAGATCAGGAGACGACTGCCATTGAAAGGCAGCTTGTTACTCACTGTTCCCGAGAGGAGGGGGCACAGGGCACCACGCAGGGCCACCCGGGGAAGCACCAGGGTTGGTCATGAGGTGGGGGAGGGGGGAAATGTGGGCAGGAGCCTTTGCGTGGTTTCCACCGGAAGGAATGGGCGAGTCAGGGTAAGCAGCCTTGGGATTGGCTTCAGCAGGCTCTGGGGTGTCTGGCCTGTCCCTGGTTGTCTGGTACCTGGGTGACCAGGGCAGGGGGACAGTGGCCTGGTTAGTTTGCGTTTTGAAGTCATTGACCATCCCTAGGAATTGGCTAGCTCTGGGGGGGCCGTCCCTCCAGGATCTGCGAGGCCCCAGTGTCAGAGTGTCAGAAGCTCGTGGTTAATACCCCAGGGAGGCACTTTCCCCCCTGTGTTGGGGGTCTCCCCTGGTTCAGCCACACCCTGCAGGGTGACAGGTGCGGGCTCGGGGTCCCTTCCACTCCCCTGAGCGTCCTTCCTGGGTCCTCAGGCACCATCGCCTACCTCTTCTTCACCAACCGCCACGAGGTGAGGAAGATGACGCTGGACCGCGGCGAGTACACCAGCCTCATCCCCAACCTGAAGAACGTGGTCGCCCTGGACACGGAGGTCGCCAGCAACAGAATCTACTGGTCCGACCTGTCCCAAAGGAAGATCTACAGGTGAGCCTCAGCCGGCGCCCGGCCCCACCTCAGGGTGAAGTGAGGGCCCTGGTGCTGACACACGTCCCCTTCCTCAGCACCCAGATCGACAAAGCCCCCAGCTTCTCCTCCTACGACACCGTCATTGGCGAGGACCTGCAGGCCCCCGACGGGCTGGCAGTGGACTGGATCCACGGCAACATATACTGGACTGACTCCGTCCTGGGCACCGTCTCCGTGGCCGACACCAAGGGGGTGAAGAGAAAGACGCTCTTCAGGGAGAAAGACTCTAAGCCGCGGGCCATCGTGGTGGATCCCGTGCACGGGTGGGTATTCCTGAAGCTGACGGGCACAGAGACACTGAAGAGCCAGCCGGGACTCCCGAGGGGGACTAGACAGTGGGGTGGGGGCTGTCCCGAGATCAGCAAAGAGCAGATCAGCAAAGAACAAGGCCGGGCATGGTGGGCCTTCCCCACTTCCTCTTTGGGGGTCATGGGGGGCGTAGGTCCCTCTCGATGTCGCTGTGTTACCTGAGATGGAATCAGAGCCTGACAAGTCCCGTCGTCGGAATAAGATTCCAAAATAAGAAATGAAAATCCTGATGGAAATTGGTATTAGAAGTGAACACTTATCAGAAATTAGAAATTTCAGTTCTGATTGAGTATCTATGGCAGAGGGTCATCCTATGCCAGGACAGGATTGGAGAAGAGTAATAACCCTCACGTCCAGTTAGTTGCTTGACAGTTGTGGTGAGGATTTCATGGGGTGTGAAGGTCGCCACCCAGTGGAGCCCCCAGGAGGGTGTCTGCCGGGCCCGGGGCTGACTCAGCAGCTCCAGGACCCACAGTGTCCCTGGCGGAAAGCGTGCCCCCCCCCGCCCCCGCGAACTCTGCACCTGTCAGACCACATCTGCCGCCTCAACATGTCACATGTGGAATTGCACAATTCCCCAGGGCACTGAGAGCCCCGATGGGCAGCCTGATCTGGCTGCAATCACTGGAGAAAAGGGAGCTTTGGCCCCAGGGAGAGAACAGGAGAGAAGGCACACCTGGCCGTCTTCACGTGGTCTCCAGGGCTCAGTTCCGTCAGATCAGATGGAACTTGGGGTGAAGGGGGGCCCTGGGCGGGTCCCAGCTGAACAGGACTAATGCTCTCATTTGGCGGAGGGGCACGCGGTCCAGTGAATTAGCCCCAACTCCCAGAAGAGAGAGGCTTCCAGAAAACATCCACTTAGATACAAGTGGTGGGGACTGTGTGTGTGTGTGTGTGGTCTGCTCTTGTGTTTCTCTTCCCCTGAACACCAGCACACTTCTGCCCTCTGTTCCCCACCTGCCCCTTCCATTGGCCTGTGGGGTTTGTTCCCTGTCGACTGGGTGGGCCGTGATTTAATGATCTGCTGTCCAGCACGTGGAAATTTAGATTTTTTTCTTGACCTCGCACTAAGCAGCTGTGAATACCTTTGAATGTGAGTCGTGGTGGTTTATTGGCAGGATAACATTCTAGAAGTTGGATTGCTGGTTCAGAGGGTGCGTGCATGGACATAGCATCATCTTGTCCTTCCAAACGTACATTGTAAGACTGACCCTCCCGCCAGAGGTGCACAGAGGGCCCGTCCCTGGTTGCCAGTCATGGCGGGGAGCGGGGTTTCAGGGTCATTTGCATTTGTATTTGGCTACTTGTGAGTGCGTTGGAGCATCTCTTCAGAGGGTTGGAAGCCCTTGGAGACCCACTTGTCAGTGTGGATGCAGGTGAACTGATAGCAGGGACGTGGACAGATATTTGCACACACATTCGGGTCCTGGCCTGGCGGCTTCGGGTCGAAGCTGCTCTTGGGCGTGGGCTGGGAGCCTCTGCCGACCCCTCACGTCTGCTCTCGCTGCTCTCCCACCAGCTTCATGTACTGGACGGACTGGGGAACCCCGGCCGAGATCAGGAAGGGGGGCCTGAACGGCGTGGACATCTACTCGCTGGTCACGGAGGACATCCAGTGGCCCAATGGCATCACGCTGGGTATGTTGGCAGGAGGTCGGGGTCGGGCACAGTCTGGAGGAGAGAGGAGAGTGGACAGGCTGCCCCTGGACCAGACCGCACAGCTCCCTGGGATTTTGTTGTTTGTTTTTTGTTTATTTTTTTTTGCTGAGGAAGAGTGGCCCTGAGCTGACATCTGTGCCCGTCTTCCTCTGCTTTGTATGTGGGTGGCCGCCACAGCATGGCTGACGAGTGGAGCAGGTCCACACCCAGGATCCGAACCCACAGACCTGGGCCACCAAAGCGGAGCCCAGAGAACTTGAACCGCTCGGCCACGGGCCGGGCCCTCCCTGGGGTTTTTATAATCTGTAACCAAACTGCCAGGCTCACACACGGTCTCTGTGGTCAGAGTTGCTTTCTGGGCTCATCTCTGCCAGGTCGTTTGGGGGCTCCTTCCTGTGGGGAGCGGAGAGGCCAGTCCACTCTGGCGTCAACACGTGACCTCCTTCTCCCCCCGTGGGTTCTAGATCTTTCCAGTGGCCGGCTCTACTGGGTTGACTCCAAGCTCCACTCCATCTCCAGCATTGACGTCAACGGAGGGAACCGGAAGACCATTCTGGAGGACAAGAAGAAACTGGCACACCCCTTCTCCTTGGCCGTCTTTGAGGTGGGGGCTGGGGGCAAGTGGTCGCTCCCTCCGAGCTTGAGGGAATTCAGGCCAAGTGCTGTTCACTGAGCGCCCCTGATGTCCCAGGCGGGGGCGCTCACGCTAACAGTCGACAACCTTGTCCAGTTCTTTTGAGCCTGTGACTTGAAGAGCTCTTAGACCTGGAATTATTTCCATTTTCTTATCAAAAGAGTCTTGAAAGGTCTAAGTCAGCAGTTCTCAATCAGAGGCTGTCTTGAACCCAGTGGCCATGTGGCAACTTCTGGAAACTTTTTAGTTGTTGCACTTGGAGTGGGGTTACTACTGGCATCTCGTGGGTAGAGGCCAGGGATGCTGCTACACACCCTCCAAGGAGATGAGGGTCCCCCCACACTGGGGTATCCGGCCCCAAGTAGCACGACAGTCAGGATATCCGTACACCCACGCTCAAGCAGCATGATTCACAGTAGCCAAGAGGTGGAAGCAACCCGGGTGTCCATCGACGGACGGCTGGGTGAACAAGATGTGGTCCATCCACACAGTGGACTATTATCCAGCCTTAGAAAGGAAGGACGCTCTGACACATCTACAACGTGGATGAACCTTGAGGACATGATGCTGAGTGAAATAAACCAGTCACGAAAGGACAAATACTGTGTGATTCCACTCGTAGGAGGTCCCTAGAGGAGTCACATTCATAGACACAGGAAGGATGGTGGGGCCCGGTGCTGGGGGAGGGGGATGGGGGGTCAGTGTTCAATGGGGACAGAGTTTCAGCTTGGGAAGATGAGAATGTTCTGGAGATGGATGGTGGTGATGGCTGCACAACAATGTGAATGAACTTAATGTCACAGAGCTGGACACTTAAAAATGGTTCAGATGGTAAATTTTATGTTGCATGTATTTTACCACAATTAAAATTTTTTAAAAAAGAAAAAATGATGCCACAAGCTAGTACTGCTTCTTCCCAGAAAACCCCAGAGATTGGGGGTGAGGGGGAGACAGTGGTCTGTGTCCTATCCCCATGGTTAATGGGATCTGTCATTTTCCTTAATGCCCATGTAGGATAAAGTATTTTGGACGGATATCATCAATGAAGCCATTTTTAGTGCCAACCGCCTCACGGGCTCGGACATTAATTTGATGGCAGAAAACCTGTTGTCGCCGGAGGATATTGTCCTTTTCCACAACCTCACGCAGCCCAGAGGTAAAGATGAGGTGGCCGACCCCACCTCCACTTTCCTGCCGGTGCTCTGGGATTTTCTGGAATTTTCTAGAAATTTCTGACCTCGTTCTCACTCTGACTCCCACCTCTTCCACCTCAGGGGTGAACTGGTGTGAGAGGACCGCCCTCCGCAACGGCGGCTGCCAGTACTTGTGTCTCCCGGCCCCGCAGATCAACCCCCACTCGCCCAAGTTCACCTGTGCCTGCCCCGACAGCATGGTGCTGGCCACGGACATGCGGAGCTGCCTCACAGGTGAGGGCGCCAGCCTGTGGGGGCAAGTCCTGCGGCTGCCCCCCTGCAGCTCGGCCCTGCAGCTGGACCGTCCCGAGCCTCTCTTTTCTCATCCGTCAAATGGGAGAGCAAGGCCCTGGGAGGCCGTTGTGAGGACTCCTGAGTTGGGGTAACCATAGTTGCCCTTCTCGAACGCTGGGGGGTGCCTGTTTTAGACAGACACCGAGTGAGGAGATAGCCCTCTTCTCGGTTCTTCTCACCCTGGGACAAAGTCACGATTTGAGGCCAGTGTGTCCGTAACACTCACAGATCTCCCTTTTGAACAACAAATAATAACGACAACAATATTAGCGGGTTTTTATTTTCATGGCATTCATTTTCAGTTATTTCTTTGTGGCCGATGGCCCTCGCTTCCCACCCATTGTTGTTAGCAGCACAATCATCAGAGCAGTGCTCGGGCCCCGGGCACTCAAGGGTGGTTCCTTCTTTCAGAGACTGAATCTGTTGTGACCACCCGGGGGCCCTCTACGGTGAGGATGACGGTCAGCTCAACAGCCAGCTCGACGGCCGTGGGGCCGAAGCACACAGCCAGCCCGGGGTCCGTGGCCAGCCCTGAGCTCACCACAGCCGAGACGGTGACAGTGTCCCACCAAGGTAAAGGCTGGGCCCACCTTGGCCCGGTTCCCTGGGATGAGCATCTAGATGGGCCCCTTCCAAGGCCCAGAGTGTGAAGAGAGGGAGATAGTCTTGGCTCCTGCACTGACTGTCTCTGCCAGGGCCTGTGCATCTCTGAAGCCTCAGTTTCCCTACCTGTAAAATGGGGCTGGTACCAGTGTCTGCCCACCTCCCGGTAATAATGGAGGCCACATGTGATAACGTGTGTGAAGGGCCTGAGTGCACAGTGTCAGCTTATTCGAGTCCTCCAGGCGCGGCCTGGGTGTCTAAATGTTATCAAGGCCCATTTGCTGCCCAACAGGGCCAGGTCTAGGGTGAGACGGGGTGGCACCTCTCAGGCAGCGTCTGAGGGGGAGCCAAAATCCCAGGCCTCAAATAATATTTTAATGCGATAATATTTAATGTGATATTTAAAAAAGCCGACCACTTGGTCTCATAAATCAAGTTTGATTGGAGCGAGGGTCCCAGTGAGGCGGGATCGTGCAAGTGCAGAGTCAGATCCTGTCTTTCTAAAAATTTCGATAGTTTGTACATCATGGGGTATTGGCATTAATTTTGATTTTTTTAAATAATGCATTAAGATATTACTAGATTACTGAGTTTTGGGGGGCCCTTCAAGTTTTTTGCATGAGGCCAGTGCCTGGCTCTCCTCACCCTAACCTGACTTCAAGGTCATGACCTCCAGCTTCAAGGTCATGACCTTGTGGGAGGCGGTCAGAGCTGGGCTCTCAGGGAATTAACGGAAGACCTGCCATTCATCGCTTTGTCCACCAGAGGGCGCCGGGCCTGGTTTTTGAGCGGCCGGGAAATGGAGTTCGTAGACTTTTCTAGGCAGAAAAATAAAGCACATCAGCAATTTTCAATTTTTTTTCTCAGCTGAAGTCTTTGTTCAGCCACAAACGAGCTAAAACAGGAGCTGCCCTGCTCGAGGGAGGCCCAGAGCCTTTCTGGCTCCGGGGGGGCCACTGCTTAAAAAACTATTTCACAGACAAGCCCATCCAGGGCTTCTCGAATTTCGCCAAGGAGCCCTTTTAAGGGAAAAACTTCTCAAGGACCCCGCTGCTGCCCTACATTATTTTTATTACATGGTTTCTTAAATATGTGCAAATATAAAACTGGGTATAAACTCCGTACACACACGTCCAACGGCCGTAGAATGAAAACCCAGGGGGGTTTGACTATGACCGTGGTGTCAATCACGGCTCACTGGCATGCGTGTGGCTTATCCAGGCTTCCCAGCCCGTTGGCCGCTTGGGAAGCTTTTAAACTTCCCTTTGCACGGGGCCGTCACGGTGTCTGGCCCAGACGCACACGCGCGGTTGTGTGATAAGGTCCCCCTCCCTGCCACAGGCAGTATTTCTTGGTAGCCGGGGCCAGCTGGCGCAGGACTGTGGGGCTCTGGGGCGACCCAGCCCAGGCTCTGGAATTGCTGAGCATCACGGAGTCAGCAGGTGGCCCCTGCCCCCTCCGGAACAGGCTCATTGCCATCGGACGCAGAAGCAGGTGGAGAAACCCCACCCGTGACCTCGCCAACCATTGGGAATCGGAGCCAAACCCCATAACCCCGACTGCTAACGAATGAGGGCCCGGCGGAGCCAGCGAGGCACCTCTCCCACCTGGGGGATGCTCCACGTTCCCTTTGAACTTTTATGACAATGACAAGTGTCCGGTGTTTCCTTTGGCACATTGGCTGTCAGGCATCTGCTCTGTTGTCCACAGCCCTCGCTTTGGATCTGAGCTTTGCTTTGTCCTTTCTCCCATCCAGCCCTGGGCGACGCTGTGGGTAGAGGCGGCGAGGAGAGGCCCAGGAGCGTGGGGGCTCTGTACATCGTGCTCCCTGTCGGTAAGCATCCTGGTCCTCCCCCGGTTCCCAGCTTCCCACAAAATGGCCTTCCTGCCCAGCCTGCTGGTCCCATCCATTTTTTCTCCCAAGAATGGGGCGGCCCCACCGAGGGTCCTGTTCATCACTGTGCCCCCTTTCTAGCTTCATTCACTTAACAAATATACTTGAGTGCCTGCTGAGTACCAAGCCCACTTCTGGGCACTGGGGACACAGACAGGTAAGAGAAACATCTGGCTCCCTTGGAGCTGACAGGGAGCAAAGTGAGACAGCTGATGTGTCACATGGGGAAATGGGGCCAGGCTGGGGGCCCCAGTGTGCAGTGATGGGCACTGCAGACAAGGCCTCATTGACACCTGAGGGCTGCCAGGGTGCCAGCATGCACGTCTCCTCCCCTTGCCCTCCCCACCCCTGTCAGTCATGGCTCAGTTAGCATCACACCCATTTTTCCCTTTCTGAGGACATCCTTTCAAGGTGTCCCTCCAACACCCCGCTGGCTCACAGAGACCTCCATTTCGGTGCCCTACAATCGTCCAGCTGGGTTGACAGGCGGGACAGGTGGGACCCTCACCTTCCTGGTGGCCCCGAGGGTAACATCTGCCCGGCATCTTCCCAGCTGAGCCTGAGTCTCTCCTGCCCTCTGGGCACTGGCCAGGCTGTCCAAACCCAGGTTGGGGAGCCTTCGGCTGTTCCCTGGATGGAGATCGGTGGCTGTCAGAAGCCGGGGGAGGGGACAGGGAGTGCCACCCCGAGGCCCACCGTAAATGACACACAGAGCGATCCGGCCCCACTAGGCCACCGGGCCGGCCCCAGATAGATTTTTTACGATGGGCTGACATTGCTTTAACTTGGGACAAAAACGTTAACAAGTGACAAGGCGGGGCCCGAGCGGCCGAGTGACGCACGCGTCCCCCACAGCGCTGCTCATCGTCCTGTGCTTCGGGACCTTCCTCCTCTGGAAGAACTGGCGGCTGAAGAGCATCAACAGCATCAACTTTGACAACCCCGTGTACCAGAAGACCACGGAGGACGAGGTGCACATCTGCCGCAGCCAGGACGGCTACTCCTACCCCTCGGTGAGAGGCCACGCTCCCCGGGGGGCGGGAGGGCCTCCAGGGATGTGCTCCTGGGGGGGACAGGGGCAGTGGGTAAGCAATGAGGTCATAGGTCAGATGGTGACAGAGAAGAAGCCGGAAGGCGGACAGAGAGTGGCTTGTGGGCCGGAAGGGAGGGAGGGGTGCAATTTTGGATAAGGTGGCCGGGGCAGGCTTCCCTGAGTGCGGAGTGCATGGTGTGCAGAGGGTACAGCCTGTGCAAAGGCCCTGAGGCTGGACTGTGCCTGGCGTGTTTGAGGAGCAGGGAGGCTGCCAGTGTGGCTGGAGCTGAGAGAGGGAGGAGACGAGAGAAGGGAGGGGACCGGACGGATGGAGCAGGACCTTGTGGGCCACAGGGGGGACTTTGGCTTTGCTCTGAGCGAGGTGGGAGCCACGGAGGGTTCTGAGCAGAGGAGGGGCATGGCCTGACTCAATGCTCACACTGCCCTCTGGCGGCCGTGGGGGGAACAGACTGCGGGGGCAGGAGACCAGGCCAGCACGGGTGGGCCCTCAGGGAGGGCGGGGTGGGTGGCCCCTGGCCGTGTCTACTGGATGCTGGACTCATGGCTTCCGGTTTTCTGGTTCTGTCGACAGAGACAGATGGTCAGCCTGGAGGACGACGTAGTGTGAGCCACTGCCTCGAGGCCTGTGGCTCCCCGGAACCTGCTGGGCAGGAAGAGCGCTTTCTCCCTGGACCCGTGACCTGCCCCAACCCTTCCCAAGACCTCGACGCCCTCCTGTTGCGTTCAAAGCAAGAAGTGACCGAGAGCACCGCCGTGGCTGCAGCCTCCGCGCCGGCGGCCGCGCTGTCTGCCAGAACCTTGTTCTATATATTTATTCGTCTGGGAGGCAGAACGGGCTTCCGACGGCGCCCAGGGAACGGGCTCGGGTTGGGATTCTCCTGTCTGTCTTTCCGTCTGAAGGAGAAGAGGAGAAAGCCGAATGAGCTGGGGGGACGTTCTGTCCTCTCCGCAGAGGGTTGACCTTCCAGCATCTTCCACCGGCTCCTCGCCTGAGGGGTGGCCGGACAGAGGGACACGGAGTGAGAGAAAGCACGTGGCCTTGAATAGTCGAGAGCAGGGCCCCAGGCAGCCACCGCCCCCACTCTCCAGCCCGAGCCCCAGACTCAGGAGTGAATGTGTTCACCTCCCCTTGCTGGTTGCTGGACGGCCAGAGCAAGCCTCTCGGCCACCCTCGATCAGGATCCAACTGGGGTTTCCCAAGCCGGGTTTGTGGCCTCCCCTTAGGCCGGGAAGGGGCCTCTGGCGTTGACACGGATGTGGCTGAATCCAGCAATCCGGGGGTGGCACCAGCTAAGCCCCGTCCACTCACAGAACCTCGACAGCTTCCAGGGACAGCCTGAACCGCCCATCGCCCTTAATCTTTTCTGAAGTGCCTGAGACGCCGGGCACCCCGTGCGTGTAGACGGCAGCCTCCGAGACCCCCAGGCGCGTCCTTCGGGCCCAGTGTGGCTGTCCGGACCCCAGCCCTGCGCCCCAGCCCCCGCTCCTTCAACTCTCCTCGCACTTTTCCGTTCAGGGTCATACGTTCCGTAAAGGCGACGTTCGTTTTGTTAGTTTGCACTGTCTCCGTTCCAGCTGGGATGGACTCCCAGGCCCGAGAGGGCCCCGGGGGTCACCGAGCGCTTCAAAGCCAAGATCGTGACTCTGGCTAGCGTTTCCACGTCTATGCAGATACCCTTGAGCCGTTAATTTCCCCGACAGGATGGTTGTCACGGATGGGTGTCCCTCTGAAACCTGCACAAGCGCTTCAGCCCTGGAGGACATCCCCGGGCTCTGTCATTTTATGGGGCTTCTGAAACCAGAATTCTTTCTGAAATTGTCACCCATGTTGTTGCATTTAAGAACGAAGAGATGGGCAGGGGGGTCCAGCCGCAGTCGCTTCCTGCACGGAGATGTCGGAAGGGACTGTCACTCATTCATGACCCGACCACGAAACACTGTGTGCCCCCCCCGTAGGAAACTGTGAAACCTTGTCTCCGTCTGAAGCTGTAAATAAACCCCTGTCCAGACGGGGGCGGGGGGGCTTTTTGTTATATTTGCACTTTGTATATTGGTTGAAACATTTATCACCTATATATATATGAAAAAAAAGATCTATTTATTTTTGCAAATCCTAGTTGCTGCGTTTGCTTGGTGACCCCTCGGGGGGCTCTGCTTTGGGGGTGATTGTCTCTGAGACGCCTCGTCTTTCTGTACAAAGATTGTTTGCGCTGCTGTGCGCCCCGCTCTTCAGGAGAAGCGTGTCTGCGTTGTATATATGGGTTGCTTTGGGGGATGGGTGTCGCTTTTTAAACCACTGTGTAGAATGTTTTTATAGCCTGAATGTCTTACTGTGAGGGATGAAATTTCTTAAATGAACCCTTTGGCTAAATGTGACGTGGTTTTGTCTTTTGTTCAGCCCCTTGTCCATCTGTTAATGGGCTGGACTCCCCGGGAGAAGGATCTGGAAAGGGAACATTTCCCCAGAGCTCAGGACAGGCTGCAGGCTCCGGGGGCAGGTGTCACAATCTGGGGGGCGATGTGCTCAGCTGGGGAGCGATGCTTACCTCCTCCCTCCCACTCTGCTGGGGGTTCTGAATCTCCTGCTCGTTCAGTCATTCAACAAACATGTACTGGGCGCCTGTTGTGTGGCAGGTCCTGCTCTAGGCACGTGGGACACTGCAGTGAATAAAAGTGCATAAAAGGCTGTGCCCTCAAGGAGCTGACATTTTGGAAGGGGAAATACAAACAATTACTATATGTTAGAAGAATATTCTAGAAGAATATTAAACAGGGTAATGGGATGGAGAAGTGACTGGGGGGAGGGGCTCCTTTATTTAGGGAGGGATTCTGTCAGGAGGTGACATGTGAGCTGAGTCTAGGAGAATAAGAACTGGCCGGGTGAGGATCGGGGGGGAGAAAGTGATTTGAGGCTGAGACCACCCCCCACCACTTGGCTCCATCAACATATAAGTGGTCTTTCTGAAGGACTCTTCCCTTCGAACCCTAGGACCCCTGAAGTGGTAGGTGTGAGGTCCTCTTTAAGAATAAGACAAAGGATAAAAATGTGACTATTGAAGTCATCGCTAAGATAAACCGAACCAAGAGATTTCACAACACGAAGCATAAGTTCTGGCGAGTGTGGCTTCAGACTCCATCGTGGGAACACGTGGGTAGAGCCACGGGCGTCCGTGCGCTGTGGTCCACTCAGTACCCTGCGCCCCCATTCTCCCCTGCCCCCCAGCTGACCTGAGCCTGGGCCTCGGGGGCATTTCAGACCCCTGTCCTTGGGTGTGACAGGTGGAACCACAAAGTCTCGGTGGGGCATCAATGGGGCGCGGTCAGGGCCACAGCAGGTCACTGGGTAGAAAGAACTGCATACAGGGAACTAAGTATTGAGGACCAGACGGGGCAACCCACCCTGAGACGGCACCTCACGCCCATCGGGACGGCGGTAATACAAGACAAAGCAAAACGCAATGACGAGTGTCGGCGAGGATGGGGAGAAATTGGACCCCCGTGCACTCCTGGGGGGCATGTAAAATGGTGAGGACGCTATGGGAAACAACACGGCAGGCCCTCGAAAAACTGATAATAGAATTAGCATATGATCCGGCAATTCTACTGCTAGGTGTACAAACCCCAAAGTATTGAAAGCAGGGTCTCAAACAGATATTAGCACACCCGTGTTCATAGCAGCGTTATTCACAAGAGGCAAGAGGGGGAAGCAACACAAGTGTCCATCGACGGGTGAATGGCTACACAAAGTGTCCCTCCATACAGTGGAATATTATTCAGCCTTAAAAAGGGACATTCTGACAAGCTACAACACGGATGAACCTGGAGGACATTATGCTGAGGGAAATAAGCCAGACGCAAAAGGACAAATACCATATGATTGCACTTACATCAGGTCCCCCATGTGAGGAGTCACATCCACAGAGACAGAAAGTAGGATGGGGGGGCCAGGGGCTGGGGGAGGGGGATGGGGGGTTAGTATTTAATGGGGACAGAGTTTCAGTTGGGGAAGATGAGAAAGTTCTGGAGAGGGATGGTGGGGATGGTTGCACAGTGATGTGAATGTGCTTAACGCCAAGCGTACAGAACTGTACACTTAAAAATGGTTAAGATGGTATATTTTATGTGTTGGACCAATTAAAAATAATGCTCAATAATGATAATTTTTGTAAAGACCAAATGGGGGCCAGTGAGGCGGCCAGAAGGAAGCAACAGCAGAGGCAGCGGTGGCGTTCCTGGAGCCCGGGGGCCGCGGAGGAGACACTGTCGGTGGCAGAGACGGAGGAGCAAGACCGCAGCCTCTCCCCTCCCGGCCCCCAGCAGCGCCCCCCATTGGCTGAACCCAGCAGGACCCGGGAAACGGGGTGCCCTGCCTTACAGGGTGTGACAGCGGGCAGGGACGGCCCCAGGAGCAGGCGACCCGGAGTGTGGGGACAGCGAGGTGGGACAGAGCGCAGACCGGGCCAGGCCGCCTGGGTCGAGATGGGTGACCTCGGGCCATCAGAGCCTCAGTTTCCCCGACCGAGACTGCGGCCGATGCCTCCCGGGGCCCGAGAGCGCCCGTGGCCGGCGGTGGCCGGGGCGGCACGGGGACCGCCATCTCCCGCGTCCACAGGGCGGCGCCCGCCCCCTTCCTTCCGCCCTCGGTCCGGGGCTCCAGGCGCCTCCGGGCAGAGCCGAGCCGCGCGCGCGGGGTCGATAATCGGGCGATCGAGCGAGTCCAAGCTCAGCCGCGTGGCAAATGGGACAAGTGAGGCTGAATGGCCGGCCCGGGGGTCCCGCGCGGAGGGCGGGGGTGAGGGAAGGTGCCGCGAGCTGGCCTCGGCCGTTTCCTGTTGAAAGAGCAGTTTCCAGAACCCTTGGGCGCCCCCACCGGGCACTGCCGAGGGCACGGCCACGCGGGGTCACGGCGTCCGGACAAATCAGGGCGTTTGCGCATCGGCTCCTCGGGCGGCGCCGAGGAGGGCACGGGACCAGCGCCCATTTCACAGACGGGAAAGGGGAGGCTCGGGCCCGCGGGCTCGGCTCACGCCCCTGAGCGGTGGGGGGGGCGGCCTGGGAGGGTCACCCAGGTGGGGGTCCTCTCTCTGGGCTCAGACGGGGTCCGCCAGCGAAAGGCACGGATGTCACCCGGGGAAGATGCGCCCCCTGGACGTGCGGCCGGCCCCCTGCTCTGGGGCTCAGCGCCCACAGGGGTGCGGGTCCCGCAGGGGGGGGCAGCCTGCCGCCCCGGGACGGGGTCACCGAGGGCTCAGCGGCTCTGGCCGGACGGGGTGGTCGGCGGGAGGAAGCTGCTCCCCCAGGCCTGACGCCCCAACTCGTGTCCTCTGCTGCCCCCGCCCCCAGCCGGCCTCCCAAACCGCAGCTGCCTGCGGTGAGTCAGGCTGGAGCCCGCGGGCCGAGCCCAGGTCCGCGGGAGGGAGGGGGACAGGGGGTGGGGGAGGGAGGGGGAAGTGGCAGGTAGTCCCAGTTACTGGCCAACTAGCATTCACTGGTCGGTCCCTCAGACCTGGCCAGGGGCAGCCCATGCCCCGGCGCCCTTCCCCGGGGCCTCCAAGGGCAGGCTCGGGGGCTGCCCCACCCCGCCCCTCCCCACAAGTGGGGGGTGGACAGCGCCCCTCCCCTCCCTTCCCAGGATGCTGCAGGGATGAGAGAGCGCTGCGGGATCTGAGTGTGAGGGGCCCCTGCCACATCGCCCACCCTACTGAGCAGAGGCGGGGGCAGCCCCCAGGATTCCTGGGTGCGGTCCAGCCTCCCCTCCCGGCAGCTCGGGCTTCAGCGCAGCTTCCCGCCCTCGGTGGAGGGGCTCCCTCCTCCCCCAGCACCCCCTCCCCGGCCCAGCTGCTCTGCTCAGCAGGCCTCCTCTCCCACGCTGTGCCTGGGATGGAGCGGGGAGCTTGGGGGTCACAGCGCCAGGACCTCTAGTCCAGCAGGGCCTCTGTACTAGAGGCCAGCATCAGCCTCCCTTTTTCTGGGCCCAACTCTGGGCCCCTCGGAATCTGAAAATCCTTCCCATGTCTCACTGTGGACTGCAGGCGTGGTGTGATCAAGCCTCGCAGCCTCACAGCTCGCTCCACGCTGGCCTCTCTGCTGTCCCTGAACACCTGCCTTTGCACTTCTGTTCCCTCTGTCTGGATCACTGTCTCCACACTATGTCCCCTGGGGGCTCAGGTCTGGGCTCCAATGACACCTGTCCCCTGGGGGCCTTTTATAGAGCCTCCCCGCAAAGAGCAAACAGCCACAGCACTTATCACTAACTGAGATGATCTCATTCGTCGGTCGGGGTTAGGAGCACAGACTCTAAATCCAGTTCAAACCCCGGCTCTGCCACCACCAGCAACGAGACCTTATACAAACATCGTGACCTCTCTGTGCCTCAGTTTCCTCCCCTGTACGGAAACACTGAGCCTGGCACATGGCACCCACTCGACCCGGTTCGTCATGGCCTCCACTGGACTGTGGCTCCCTAAAGGTCACAGACGCCCAGTCCACATTTCTGAGTCATGGGGTGGGGGGTGGGGTGGTGTCCTGGGGTGGACCAGCGCGGGCCACACACGGAGGGTCCCCAGGAGCCCAAACATCGTCATGTCGGTGAACCCTGAGCCCGTGGGAGGGGCAGGGTGCGGCTACCCCCTCGGCTGTCCTCCCCCAGAAACATTAATTTTAAGGCAGGTGGGCCAGGCCTGCGGATATCCGACCCCGACCGCCGGTCAGTAGTGACTTTGAGTAGCTGGGACTCCAGCCGCCCCGTCACCCTCGAGGGCCCGGTCAGGCGCAGGCGTGAATCCCAGTCCTCGCTTGGTCCCTCTGCCTGGGTGACTTTGGACGAGGGCAGCCGCCTGAGGCTGGTTCTCATCTCAAAAGCCCCACTGCGGGCCCCGACTCCAGGGGCGTGACGGTCCTGAGACTTTGGCAAGTGACTGCACCGTGCCGTGCCTCAGTTTCCGCATCCGGACAGCAGAACCTCCTCCCTGGTTTGGGATGGTGCTGGGCCGTTGCAGGAGGAACGGGCGGCGCTGCGGGGTCGTCTGGGTTCTGCAGGCGCAGGGCGGGTGACCCGGTTCCCCACCCCCTGGTCCCGGGGCCGAGAGGCTGGCTCCCGCCCGGCGGGGCTGGGCCGAGGGCTCCGGGGAAGAGCCGGTCGCCCCGA